TTTTGGAAAAAAAAAAAGTCTTAAAGCATAGGATATTTGTAACTTTTTCATCTTGTTTGTACTGAAAAATGGCAGGGCTGTTCTGCTGGCTGCTGCCTGGAGCTTGCACATGCTGGTGTGCCCAGGAGCAGCTCCTGCCTCCAGCCTTGGGGCACTGTGCTCCCAGCTGCGCGTTACAGCCCCGTTCTGCAGTCAGCACGAGGATACCTGGGATTTCACTTCTGTGCACAGCTGCTCCTGCAGCCCCAGGCTAAAATCTGCAGTGGTTTCAGCCAAGTCTCCATGGGAGACCGCAGGATGACAAGTGTCCTGTGAACGCATCCATCCCCACCAGGGCTTTTCCTGCTGCCGGGCTGCTCGTGGCCAGATCCTGCACTCAGAGAGGTGTTTTACAAACGTAACAGCTGGGAGCAGAGGATGACATCTTTCATGCTGATATGTCAAGGTAGCACCTCCACATCCTTCGGGCAGTGTTAATATTTGGACAGGGTTAATATATAAGCAGCACTTCTTAGTTTAGACTCCTGCCCTGTGCTCTGATCCTTGCCAACCTGCGCGGCTCTGCCTGGATTCCTGCCTGCCCCTACGCGGCACCGGGCTGGGGCCGGACACGGGCACTCAGCTCAAACAAAACACACATGGATGTCTGTGGGAGTCACGCCTGAGTAGTAACCGCAGGAACAAGGCACCATTGTGGGCTGTGGAGAAAAACAATTAATGCGATCAGCCAAAATATTCAGAGAGCACCTCTGCAAACACCCCATTCCTCTCTTGGAAAGAAAGAATGCTTCTGAGGCTGCTCGGAGCTGTGCTCTGAATATTCATGGCGTGCTCCTGGTCCTGAGGCACCGCTTGTTTGCATTAAGGATAAGGAAGGGCACAAACTATTAACCTCTGCAATTCAGCCTTCACTTCTCACATTAGTACGCTATGGAAAAAATCCAGCGGCAGTCATGGCATATCAGTCCAGTAAGTGTCTGGTGAAATGGAGCTAAACTCGGGTCCTGCTGAGCCCTTTTGGTTTGGGCAGAGCCCTGGGACAGTTCTGTTCTCCCTGGGCTCTGCCCCCCAGCACCCCCAGGCCCTCCCGCAGCTCTCCCTGTTGTCACCTTGTGCAGCTGCTTTTCTGGGCCGGTGCCCAGCGCAGGCTGTTACCTGTGGGTTATTTGGGGAGGGAAGTGGCATTACGCAGGGCGGTGCTGCAGAGATCGTGCTGCTGGAAGCAGGATGTTCCTCCCCAGAGTGAAAAGCAAACCTGCAATTTGATGGCTGCTTCAAAGATGGAAAACTTTGTCCCCCAAACAAAGCAGATTTGCTGGAATTACTCATACTGTGTCAGGTGGAAATACAGGGAGTTATTCAGAAAAAGCACATTTTCTAGAACAAAGCAGAGGGAGCTGAGGAGCACCCCTGCCACCCAAACCCAGGCTCCCCAGCAGCCTGGCTCCCAGGCTCTGCCCGGCCTGTGCCTGCCTGCTCAGGGGCACCGTGCCCGGCCTCGCCATGCTCCCAATGCCCTCCCTGGGTTTTTGCTCCTGGCACTCTCCAGGAGATGTGGTTTGGCAGCGTGGGGCGTGGAGACACCCTGGAAAAAGCAGTGCAGGGACAGCGCGGCGCTGTGCTGGCCGTGCCCACTCGCACAACAGCCCTCTGTGCGGAGGGAATTCAGGCAAATTAAAGGCTGGGGAACAAAACGTTTCATTTTGGTTTGTGGCCCTGAATGTGCGAGGGCAGCAGGAAGTGCGTGTAGGGCTTTGGTTTGCCTTCCCCCAAAAGGAAGCTACAGCTCCAGGATCAGGCCCCTTTAGGGCCATGCAAACACCTTATGGGATCTGCACACAACCCGGCTCTCTTAATTTCTATGACCTATTAGCAGATTAGTTAATTAAAGGCTACTTGAATTTAGAGCTTCCTGGAGGAGGCAATTGCTCAGTCCCTGCACCATCACCAGAAAAGGAAAGAAAAATCGCTACAGGTCTTCCTTGGGTGTGAAAAATGAGCTCTTGTCTGAGTGAAGTCAGCGCTGCGACACCAACAGCTGGAGCCCCGCCGCAGAGCAGCCTTCCCGTCCCGGTTCTCTGAAAGGGCTGCTTTTCCAGCCTTGTCAATCCGAGGAAATTTATTTAGGCAGTCTCAAGGGAAGGCCCTGGCAAAGCATTAATAGGTTTGTGTTACAAAGGAGACCTTTATTCACTGCTCTTTAAGTTGGCCTAGGTTTTGTTAGGCTATTTAAGTTCATGCACAAAGAAAACGTCTGTCTCTGACAGTCTCGGTGCTTCAGCTCTCGGTGCAGGGCTCCAGAGGAATCTGCTGAGCCACCCATGAGCTGCCCAGTTCCTCAGCACCGCATCCAGGCGCCGTGCCTGCACACCCTGCACCCACGTAACGCCAGGCGCCCTGCTCGGAGCCCCCCGCCAGCACCACGTCCTCAGGGCAGCCACGGGGCTGAGCCTGCAGCGGGCTCCTGGCCTAGCCGAGAGGCATGGGTGAGAAGCACAGAGGTGATTTAGTGGGGCAAAATCCTAGCAAAGGCAGTAGGAAAGCAATGGGAGAATTATAGCTGCCCCCAGGGAAATATTTCAGCGCTTTGCCCGGCTTTAAAAAATCTGATTGAAAATAATGTGTCCAACCGGCACAGCGGTGTGCCTGCAGCCAGGTGGGTACAGGCAGCGTGGCACTGTCCTCCCTGCTGGAAGCAAAATGCGGAAAGCAGGGGTGGACTTGCCACAGCACCCCTCAGTGCTCGGTCAGGGTACCTGTCTGCAGCACAGCTTCCACCTGGAGGGCAGTGAACGGGTATGAGTGGTTCCCTGAATGCTGAATGTCGTGATTTGCTCAGGTGTGCTGCTTCCCAGGCAGGCAGAAACCATTTCTCTGCAGCTTTATTTTGCTAGCAGTGCAATGCAGCACGTGGCAATCTGAAGCCATAAATCCAGCACTGCTGCAGGGCATGAGGTAGGGGGGAGCAGCGGGGCCACGGCATCGGCAGGCGCCTGAGCAGCAGCCCTCGAAGTAAGGAACAGCCCATAACAACCTGACTGTGGAGAGATTTACTTTTCTGGTGATTTGGCTGAAGAAGTTGAGTTAAAAAGTAAATAAAAGCTCAAATTAGATTTATATAGGCATAATTAACCTCACTTTTTACCGAATAACACATATCCATATGAGCTTTATTTAGCTTGACGAAAGCAGCAGCTGCTGCAAGGCTCTGGAAGAGCTTTTCCACTGAAACACACGAACACTTCATGAATACTTGTTTTTGCACCTCTAAATTTTTCCTCTCTGGGGCTTTTAAGCAAGTTTTATTGTAGTGTTTATATAGCCACCTCAGCCTGCCTTTGGTTTATGTTTTTCTCACCCGAAGCCACTGAATTTTGAGTGTTTTTAGATATAGGCATCTGAAATTACATTCTTCTAAGAATTGATTGCAATAGTAAAACTCAAAGGTTCTGTTTCAGGCAATTGTCTTGCAACCAAGTATCTGACTTTTATTGAGTTATAACAGAGATCAACAAGCTTTCTGTGGCTGTCTGCTACCACCAGGGTAAATAACAAGACCCCCACCAATTCCAACAAATCAGGACCTAGTCAACTCGCTGGAAAAAAGACCCAAGTAACGGCAGTTCTTCCCGGAATACATTGCAGAGAATGCCATTTAGCTTTTCTCGCCTAGAATGAGATGAAATGCAGCCCTAGCACCATCCATCAAAAACGTCACCTCTGGAGCCAGGGCAAACCAGCCTCTTTCAGGTTAAGAACCAAAGCCCTGCAGAGCAGAGCTCCTGTTATGTGCTGAACCATGCCCGGCAGAGAAGGATCACCAGCCGTGATTTCTGCACGACCCCTGGAGCACAGCGGGTGCAGAGCTGGCCCCCAGCCCACGCTTCATCCCTGCCCGGCAGCCCCCAGCGCTCACCCTTTCACCACCCGTTTGCTCCTGATGACAGAGGTTCCCCTTCATGGGTTCAGGGCCCATAAATAAATCACAGGGCCCAGGTGTTTTCCACAGAGCTCTGGGGGAAATTGTTAAACAGCTCCAGAGCTCCTTGCCCCGTGTGTCTGGTCGGAGGGGGCCTGTGCAGAGCCGTGGTGGGAGCGGGGCTTGCTGCAGGACTCCAGCCCCGAGAAGGGCACTCTCACCAGCCGTGTTGTCAGATAAGATGGAAAAGCTCATCCTTAGCTCAGCTTCTCTGCCCTTGCTGCAGGCAGCTTGTTTGGCTAAAAGCAAAACAGGAAAAATAGAAAAGTGATATATTATTCACTTACGCTCCCCAAATGACCACAGAAACCAATGCTGTTTTTGATTGATGCGGACACAGCCAGGGTTAAATGCTGTGCTCCCACCCAGAGGCTTGGTTTTGGGCACGGTGATGCCTGGTGCAGGGCAGAGCCACCCACTTGCTCAGTGCCATCCCCAGAGACACCACAGGCAGCTGGGCAGGAGGTGTCCTCCAGCAGCCTGCACCCTTCTGCCAGCGAAACCCCACTGAGTCATGCACAGGGCCCCATCCCCTTCCCAAATATTAAAAAAAAATAAAAAAACGGGGTGCACCCCAAGTAAGGTACCAGGCAGCGAGTGAGCCTTATGCCCACAGAAACATTCAGACACCAGCAGGACCACACTGGGTACACGACATTGTCAGGAAGGCTCGCAGTAATCCCTCCTCTTCTGGCAGTCAGCTCCTGGCCGCCACACGTGTGCGGGCATTTCTGCCCCAAAGTGTGATTTTACATTACCTGTGTCTCTCCCCAGCCCCCTGACCCAGGCTCTCTGCTGTTTCAGGCTCTGCCTTCATTCTGTTGTGCCCCATTTCACCACTGCCTCATGGCGTGCTCCGGCCAGGACGTCGCAGAGCAGCAGCACGTGGCCCTTCCTCCCACCCTCCTCTTCCTCACCCCGCTGCGGCCCGGCAGTGGGCACCACGCTCCCCAGGCCCCCGGGGTAACATCACCACCCCCAGAGCAGGAAGGGATCCGAAGCAGGACATCAGAGGCTCTCATACTGAGAAACAATTTATTTTATAAAGTTTTAGAAATGTTTTCATGGTGAGAAACATAGGGACAGAAGCAGTAGGCAGAGCCGCAGGGGCTGGGAATGCCTTTCTGACCAAAACCACTCTGAAAGTCACCCCCAGGCAGCATCCTGGGCACGGAGAAAGGACCCTTACGTGGTTCGTGCTCCCAGGTGCCCACCCGCAGCCAGACCAGATGCTTTTCCTGAGCTCAGCTCGGCACAACCATGGCTCGGCCTCCCGCTGCAGGCCTGTTCCCGCTGACATGGTCCCAGCACCCTGGGGGTGCCCGAGGTGGCCTGCCCGGTCCTGCTGCCTGCTTCTTCCTTGCTTCTTATTTTGTCTTTCTGTCTGATGAGCAGAGACTCTCGTTTGTTCAGAGCCGCGGCACTGCTGGCAATGCCATGAGCTGAGGCCTCTGAGGGGCACCCAGCACCCCATCGGGGTGCAGGCACATCAGGCCTCAGCAAGATGCAGCCGAGCTCCGCCAGCAGAGGGGCTCGCTTACGGCACCCTCCGTCAGAGACTTGCTGCAGGCCGGGCAGGCAACAAGGTTAAATAACATTAGCTGCCCGGTGGCTTGGTGCACCGTGCGGTGACATTTTGAGCTGGTGCCTACTGCCTGCCACACAGGCAGCCAACGCCGCACAGCGTTCTTGATAGAGGAGCTTTTATTTGAAACAAAGGGCTGGGAACAGCTGTGCTACAAGATACATTGCAGCAGTCACACAGCACAGCCTGCCCACAGGCGATTCCCGTCACACCAAGTAACCCCGTGAGACACCTCCACTTCTATTAATTTTGGAAAGATCCTCTCTGTGTTGCTCACCGGTGGCTCCCGGTTAGACAGAGCAGCAAACCCACACAAATTGAACTTTCGTGGTAGCTGGAGCTCGTGACACACAGAAGGCGCTGCAGCAGCCTCCTTCGCTCCAGGCGATAAACCCCAGCGGAACAAGGCAGCGTCTCCACTTGGGGTGAACGTCTTCTCGTGCTCACTCCGAATTTCAATTTTAATATCGAAACTAAAGACTCACATATGGTTTGAGCTGTTAGATGCATTAATTTCACGCTTTTGCTCCTGACACTTGAGAGGCACAGGATTTTGTTAAGCTGTTTAACTGCAGTACATTTTTCAGCAGACAGTATTTTACAAGCTATAGGAATACCTAAAAGGCTCGGGTGGACGCCAGCAGTCCAAAAAGCCTGAAGCAAGTATACGTATGCTGAAAGAGGGGCTTCAGAGGAGAAGAATTACAATTCATATATTACAAAATCAAACCCCAAACCAGAACATGCTACAGGGGTATCTTTTTTCCACGTAGCCAAATAAAGCCATTAGTGACGAGGTCTGCATGAATGCGGACAGGCCGCATACAAAGTTGGTGCTACTGGTTGCAGACTGACCAGAGCCCAGTAGGACAAACCCATGCCAAAGGCACTAGCATTGAAGGATTTGGGGCAGGTGCTGCCCCACAGACACAGCACCCACACCCTGCCTGTCCCAGGCGTGCTGCTGTGGGAGCTGGGAGCAGTGCCACCCCTTGCTGCACATGGGCACAGCCAGAGGGTCCCATCCATGTGGTTTGAGCTACTGATGCTCAAAGCCCTTCTTCTTCCACATGCAGGTGGGGCCCAGACAAGCACCCCCAACCAAGGGACACAGCCTAACCACCGCCTGCAGCTTCTTCTGGGCCACCCTGCCTGGCGCACACCCCAACACCAACCCTAGCTTCAATACAAGGGGTGAGGCAGCTCTGGTCGGGGACTTTGAGCCCAATCAGATACTGGCACTGAAGAAACACCCTGCTTGGGCTCGTCTTCCTCCCTGTTCATTTCAGCACAAGCACTTGGCAGGGTCAGTGTGGCCAACCATGGCAAAACAGAGCAAAATGCCTGGCAAGAGGCGGCAGCAGCCTGTTGGCCACAGTTATCCAGTTAACTGTCTTTCACTTTTAAACACTCAAAGTTTTATTGATTTTTCTTGCACTCCCGTTTTTTTGAATGTGGGTAATGCCGTGCACCTACCTCACAGGCAAATCACTCTGGAGGTAACCAGCTGCATGCACAAATAGCCAATGACTTCCCATCAAGGAATGTTGTTTGGATGCTAAGGTCTTTGCTGAAACGTTTCCTAAGTGATTCACGCTATTTCTCCCACTGCTTACACTGACTGTATGCATTTTTGGCTGCCTTAACATCATAGGGTTCAGAACTATGCTGTGCCTTTAAAAATAATTTACAAAGATCGAACATTCCCATTGTAACAAAAGAAAGAAGAGGCAATAAAGCTAAGCACTGGGTTTTATTTTTCAGTCCCATTTTGCTTGTAACCAAAGTGCCTGTATCTAAGGCTGTTCCAAGGGAGCTTTATTATTCCTAGCACAACTTCAAAACTTTTCGTCTACACGTCCCCCGTTGGCTTGCGGCACCCTCCTGAGCGGACAGCAGTGATCCCCCAGACTCTCGGTGTGCCCACCAAAGGGCCTGGGATGCGTTGGGTGGACAAGGTGGCTGCAGGGACCCCCAGAGCACGCACACGGCAGAACCCCGCAGCACACATCCCTCACCCCAGTTACGGCTGATGCTGCCGCCTTGGGATTTCCATGCTCTGCTCCAGCTCTGGAGGTAGGGTTTTACGCACTCTTCTTAAACACCCTAGTGTTTTCAGGAAAATCAACCACACAAAAGCACAGGGGTGGAAAAAGCGTTAGACACCACCCCCAGCAAACATACAGATGCATCTTACACCACATCTGCCTCACCTGCAGTGAAACAGTGACCGACACTGCCTGCTCCTCGCACCTGGGGAGCTGGGCGTCCCCCTGCACATGGCAGAGGGGCAGAGTCTAGTCCGTGACTCGCAGCAGCAGGGACGGCTTCCACCAAAGCTCATTTGCAAGTTACTCAAACATAAGCAAGCAAAGATCCACAGCATGGAGTTGGTTTTAAGGAGAGAAACCAGCAATTTCTGCAGTGGAATGAAAACCTAGCAATGGTGAGCTCCTTATACGCTTATCTCTGCAAAAAATATTCCAGTTCTTTCTGGCAAGTAATGGAGCCATTTAGTATAAGAAAAAAGACTGAGCACACAGACATCTGCCAGCCTGGACTATCTGACATTTTCTGTGACTAACAGAAGCCTTGCATGATGGAGGGGACAAACACCATCAGCAGAGATGCAGTGCAGATCTTGGGACAATGTCCTCCCACGGGACCTGACACACGATGCTGACCTCACTCGGGGCTGGAGAACTGCACCACGAGGACCAGGGTCTGGGGCAGTTGTGCCACCATGCAGGACACGGATGCTGCAGGCTTCCAAAGGAGACAGCATGTCCCTATTTCTTGGAGAGGGTCATTGACTTACTAAAGGGAAAAAAACTGACATTGCAGCATTTCAGGCACAAAAAAAAACCAACTAGGATAGCTTAAGCTGGAAAGCTGTTTTCCATAAAACTCCTGCTCAGAAAGCAGCTGAAAAAGTTCCATACTTTAAATGCTTAACTACCTCCAGTGAACGGTGGGAGCACAATGCCTCTCTGTGCAAACACTCGCTTGAAATAACAGACAGTAGGAGGCAAGCGAGATAAAACTGGGAACAGGGTTTGGGCGAGAACTGCCAGGAATGTTTGCATTCCAGCTCCATGGCTAAAACCCAGACCGGTTGAATTAGTTGGCTGCCCAGCACCCCCTGCCCTTGGGGAGGTCTGCACAGTTCCCTTCTCAGTAAGGTTAAACTGATCACTGTGTACCACCTCGTTACCTATTTTTACATTATTGTACACATTGGAGAAAGCTACGGCTATGCGTTGCTGCAATTCAGTATCATTTGCTTTCAGAAAGTAATCACTCGGGTTAATCAAATTGCTCAAAACCATTGATTTAGTACAGTTGTCAGCATTCTGTTAGTGTAAAACTTCCAGCATGGACTTCAAAAATAAAAGCAACCCTCATTTTTAACCATGACCATAGGTTTAGTGTGCCAAAAATTATTTTTGAGATGTGTTATTTCTAAAACATCGCAAGATCTTAGTCATGAGAAGCTTTGAGAGACTTTGTACACCAACACAGGACCCTCCTTTTCAGTCCCCTCCTATAAGGCACACCGGGACCTCCCACCCCACAGGCATACAGCTTTCCTTTGTTTCCTCCCCTGGGAAATCTCCTTCTGAACTGTGTTGGATGCAAGGGGGTACTTAGTTGCAGAGTGAATAGCCAGGCTCTAATTTTTTTGTTTTGTTTTACTGTCCACTTTTCACGTTCTTGTCAAATCACCCCGACTCTGTCTCGGCCTCGAGTGCCTGCCGCAGCCGCACCCCGCTCAGAGGCGCTTGCTCCTGCTGCAGGTCGCGCACCGCAGGCTGCCCTTGTCCAGGCTGAAGGCTTTGCCGGTCAGCTGCGTCTCGCACTCCAGGCAGGTGAAGTGCTTCTTGTGCCAGGCCATCCCTTCTGCCTGCTGGTAGTCCTCCGAGAAGATGATCTGCGGGACAAACAGACCGCTGCTCGTTTCTGCAACCCCGGCCCCGTAGTGGCACGAAAAGAGCTGTAGCACGCCAGGAGCGGGGTTGTACACCACTGAGACATGCGTGTGGCCACCACCACCACCCTCCCCACCACGGTTGGCATTGCCTCGGCCCAGCACGCTGTGGTGCCGCCCGATGAGCCCCAAGCAGGCCGTGGCAAGGCCCTGCGTCCCTACCTCGTCACAGCCAGCACAGCGTGGCCGCAGGCTCTCGCAGTAGTGACGCCCGCACCATGCGGCCCCGTTCTTCCAGAAGTAGATGAGGTCGACGAGCGGCTCAGCACACTGGCAGCAGACGAAGCAGGCCGGGTGCCACTGCCGCGTGTAGCCGGCCCGGTCCGCGTACACCACGGGGCAGTCCGCCGGCATCGCCTCCTTGCAGGCCTCGCAGTGCTGCAAGAGAGAGCACGTGTGACGCTCCCACCGCATGGCATGGGGCACAAGGCAACACACGGGGCTTGCTGCCCATGCTGGCTGACTTTTTTTGGGCTCTGATTTATGGCATTTTTTCAATGCATCCTTCTTAATTAGGCAGCTGGTAAGAAGCTCAGCAAGACAGAACAACAGTTGTAATCTCCGAGCGTGTCCTCAATGCTTCCTGCTTCCAAGTGGTCTGAAGGGACCCTCTGTGTTCCTGCTCGGTGTCCCATAGCGCCAAGAAGGACAGGGGAAATAAAGCGTGTAATTCCAGGCCTGCTCGGCTTAGGTTGTTTTTGTTTTAGCTCTTGTTCTGTGGAGATAAATTTAAGAACGGCAAAGCCAAATTTCACAGCTATATCAGCCTGAAGGCACGGCAAGCAGAAAACAGTCTGCAGTGAGGACACAGAAACAGCGCAGCGAGGTGGAAGAGAAGCAAACAGTAAGCTGAAGAGAAAGCCAGGGCTGCAGCTCAAGAGGTGCTGGGAACAAATGTCTTAATCCTGCAGTAGGACTCAGCAAACACTGACAGTACCACAGGGTACTCATGGCCAATATGAGCAACATCTCCAAATCCACTGCCCCACATCCTCTGGAAACATTTGGACCAGTGCTCAGCATGGATGGAGCACCAAATCGTAATTAAAAGTCATTATAACTATGCATCTGGCAGCCCTCGTCTGGAGCAGTGCTCACTCTCTTCCAGCCAGGTCCTCAGGCAGATAAGGCTGGCACTGCCCCCATCAGCTGAATACGTGGCCTTGGGTATTCCCCTAAATAAAAACCAACCTGCACTAAAATCAAAACACTCTCTGAGAAAAAGTTAAGACATCCGACAGCGCAGAAAAATGTGGCATGTCAAAGACAGATATTTTGTACAGAGATTAGGAACTTTGGTCTTTTGTCGCTGTTTTTTAACACACATGCCTATCTATGACAGATGTCACTCTGCAGATTTCAGCACAGTGCTCTCAATTTACAACAGGCCAAAGAGAATTGGACCTGGCTAATCTGAAGATTAATTAGCCTCTGTGCATATTGTAGATGAGACTGACGGGGCTTACTGTCTGTGCCTGCAGGGTGACCCAGTGGTTAGTTAAAGGGAGCTCTGAAACTCTCCTCTCCCAGCCCAGGGCCAGCCACTGGAGTTCCCATTTAAATCCGAATAATCCAGGTCAGGCCAAGTGACGCTTGGTTGGCCCTCAAGGGGGATGCTCCAGGGCTGCAGCCCCTTCCAGCACAGCCTCGGCTGCCAGGCCAGGCTTCTGCCAGCCACTTGCAGCAGTCTGGCTGAAGCTTTTATACAAACAAGATACAGCAGCGTTAAGCAACTTGCCCTGGGGCTGGAGAAGGTGGGGCTGCTGTGTGGATGCTGCAGCGCGGGCCCAGAGGAGCAACGCCCTGACCACACCACCAGGGCAAGTATTTCCAGCATGCCACACATCTTGCTGTTGCCTTCTCCTCTGTCCAGCCCAGACTTTTGGGAACTGCCGCATGCAGCCTTTGTGGTGCCACCCCAAGGGACACCTCCTGTTTTACCAGCAAGTCTGGTGTTTTGGGGAAGGCTGCGTGAGAGAAGCCACTCAGTGTTTTCTGGCTTGGCTTTCCCGTGAGCCCGGAGGGGGCTATGTCTGCTTACAGCTTCCACCCTGACGGGCTCCGGCAGCATTTCTAAGTGCTCCTAAGAACTACGCAAGTGAAGGGATAAACTTCCAGCGTGCTGCAGAAGCCATGCTATTTCTGTTCTTGTAGGAGACAGAAGAACAAAACAACTCCATGGAGTGGCAGCGCTCAGAGCACTGTGGCCGGCAGAGCGTGACTCGCTGTGCACCACGGCGTGCCGACAAGGGCAGTGTGGTCAGGATGAATTCCGTGCTGACCCCAGGGGACCGCTGTCCCCACATCCCCGACAACTCCCAAGGGCACCAGACTTGAGCAGCAACTCCCTGTCTCAGGGCACCCGGCCCCACAGCTGCCCCTACACTTCCACCCTTCCAGCAGCCTCCACTCACCCTCCCCAGCCCCGCTTATCTTGCAAGATCTAGCAGCAAGAACAAACATGAGCAGCTTTCCAAGTCAGAGCTCAAATTTCTTGCCAATAAGAACTGTTAGGAAAAAAAATAATAAATAAAATCTTATTTTGCTGTTTCTTTCTGTGGCAAATTTTCACTAGGCTTTTCCTAAGCATCATATAACATATTCTCCTGTCATGTACCACACTAATTAAAAAGTGGCTCTTCGAATTTGAGATGGGATTACAGCTTAGCACTCACTTTACATCTCCATCATGTAGAAGATGAGTGAAGACTTTATTAGTGCAGTTACCAGAGGTGCTAGCCAAGAAAGTGTCCCTCTCTGCCCTAAGCTTTCTCAGGCTGCTCTCTCCCCTTGCTGCTGTTTTGCAACTGCAGCTCCCACAGAGGGGGCTCCCTGGATGCCATGAGGCTTCTGCCCAGTACGTGTGAGACTGCTGGCCTCAAACATACTGGGACAATGGCTAACTTTGGTCAACTGCTTAAGGATTTGATTTGATTCCAATACAAGGCTGAAAGATTTTCCAGTTCTGGGAAGGTTAAAGATTTTGTGCTCGGTGGAAAACATTTAGCTATTAGGACAGACATTGCAGTGATGGGGCCCCTCTCTGCAGGTGAGAAGAGTTCAGAAAGCTGTCTGAGCTCAGATGCCTTGCCCGTGGTGATTTACGTTGGCCCGGTGCTTTCCTTTACACACCATTTCAACACAGCTGGCCAGAGCGTGCAACAGGAGGTTTGACTGCCCTCACACAGGGACCACACAAACACGAGGAAATCACTGCTGCCTGTTTCTTGGTGCAGCACTTGATGCCTTCTTGGCTCATTCTCTTCTAAAGCCAGGATATTTTACACCCAGCCTTCGTAAATCTATAGCTCAGGCTGACGCCTTGAACTGAAGGATGTGAAATCAGGCTGCTGGAGCTGGCTAAAAGGGTTGGTATCAAACAGACCAGAATCCGTGTCCTACTTTTAATGGACTCAATGAAGAATTGTGACAAAGCGCTTCAGAATCAGGATCTGCAAAATGTGCAGCTGAGCACCACACTGCCCCAGGCATACCCCTGAACCAAAGGCAGTCAGGTCTTCTCAAAAAGCCTGCTTCATCGCTGCAGTCCTGCAGGTCCCTTAGGGTAAGCACAAACACCTCTCAGTCGAGGACACCATGCCCTGAAAGGGCTCCAGGCAGCCTGATGGCACTCGTGGGCATCACCTCTGGTGTCCTGCAGAGCAACAGTGGAAGGAAGCCTGGGGAAGCTTCCTCAGGAGCCCTGGGGACAGGGTTTGTGTTTAACATCTGGGCTTTGGGAGAGGCATAGAAGCTGGTCACACAAGCTTAGAGGCATCTAAACCTCCACATCTGGAGTGTGCAGATCTGCATTTCAGCTCTGAACACAGACGTGAACACTTCCAGTACTGTTGCCTTTGGGCACCTCATTTCTCAGTCCCCTTAACATCTATTCTGAGTCTTTATAGAGCTCTTTTTTGCTCACATCTTGACTTTCAGCCTCACACATACTGCAAAGTGCTACATAATAAGAGCATTTGCATCTTGGACTGTCTCTTCAAGCACTGATAAATCTGTTGTGCAGTCTGCACTAAAGCACGCAGAATCAGGTTGTTAGAGGGGCACAAGGAATGGGAAATCTCAGGAACAGAATGAAGGAAACATGCATGGATATGATAGCAGAGAAGAAAGGGAAATTATGGTATTTTAGCAAGAACTGCAAGGACTCAAAATTACTACCACATAGCTATGAAACAACCGACTTCACCTACTGTACAGTATTGCACAATGCAAGTGTGCCCTGCAGAAGCAGGCCTGGAACACACAGAGGAAATGGGAAACATCCCAACACCGGCTGGGCCAGCCCAGTCCACACCGAGGTGGGCTGCCATCCTTCCTCACTCTGCAGGGCAGGTGCCCCTCTCTTCCTCCTCCTCTTCCAACTTGGTGCTATTTAATGCAGACGTAAGGTACTATGGAAAAGTTTGCTGTCTTATTTTTCTATGGCAGAACTTTCCTCTCCACGCAGTTTTGTGAAAACCAGCAGATCCGCTGGAAGTTCAGCGCATTTCACCTTTTTGGGACGTAGCCCGTCCACTTTAGCTCAGCTGCTCTAACTCCTGCACCGGAGATCACACTAAATGATGGGTGTTTTGGTGGGAAATAGGAGGGTGAAATAGGAGTGGGAAATAGGAGGTCTGTCTTTGGTATGGTGGGAAACCACAGTCCTCTGCTGTCTGCTGGGAGCTGAGCTGCATCACATACTAGTCAGAGAGCATCTCCTACAACTGATTTTGCAGCAATTCCATTTTCCAGCTTGTGCCTCTAGAAAAATAATGTTTTAAAGTCTAAGAAGAATAACATCACAGTTATGTATTTATTTGGAAGGACAAACTTGTAGTCTAAATAAACCCTCATTGCTAAGATGACTTTTATTAATGAATTTAATGGAAACCTTCCTTTTTTGGCTTCTTTTAGCTTAAAATTCTTTGTCCAAATCAATGTTTTATTATACTGAAAAACTTCTGCTGCATCACTGGACTCTGAAAGTCAGATATGTGTTAATAGAAAAGGACATAGCAGAGGGGAGACATTACCCAATAAGGAATGAAAATGAAAACTGCTCTTAACATGTTACAATCTCAGTTTAGTAGTTGCTAGAAAAATCTTGTCTTAAAAACATTCAGATACCATTTTTTTCAGCTTTAAATCCTCTGCTGCAAGTTACCCTCACAAGGGCCAGTATGAAATATTTTCACTCAACATATGTTATGATAAGCATTTGTTCAGCAGTCACCATGGCCACTCAACTGCACTTGGAGAACATAAATCTAAAAGGGTGCTAGGGAATCTCAATTGCTTCCTTGTGGAAATGTGTTTTTATGTCCAGAGGCATGCGTGCTCTGTTCGAAGTCCTCCAGAGTAATCAGGGCCCCTGCAGTACTATCTCCATGTTCACAGCTCTGCATTAATTAGGCTGAGCCACCACCTACAGTCACTTGTATTCTCTCTATTCGTACTGCTCTGGAGGCTTAGCTGAAAATACTTGAACTTGCAGTTACACACAGTTTCTGATCTTATTTTTACACAATCACCTGGGAACATATCAAGCTCAATCTTTCAGAGCTGCCAAGAATCCAACGTTGAAATCATTGGTTCTTACAGCAAGCAGGAAACAAAAGGCATTTTCATGCCCTAGTGGTTCAACAGGCAGCTGCTGTGGAGGGATGAGGATGGGGAGGAAAGATAACCCTTCCTCGAGGCTCTTGGATGGTACTTGTGCCCGGCTGGGATGGAGGAGCACACGAGGGCCCCACCGGTGCCTCTCCCACCACTGCACTGCAGCACGCCGTGACGCCACCAAGCATCCCGGCACCGCTCGTCCGGTTTGGAAAGGCATTACAGCAGGCTTGGCCGAGCAGGAGCAGTATTGTAAACAAGGAAAGGAAATTCCTGCTGGCATGTTTGTCTACTGCTTTCTTTCAGCTGACACCGTACCTGCCCCCAAAGCACCCCAGACGCAGGGCAATGCTGCCAGCCCGTCCCACCTCAGAGCACAGCACTTACATAGAGCTCTGCTGCAGGCGCGCCCTCCAGGGCCCCGTTGGTGGTCTCGGGGGTCTTGCTGGCGGCCGAGCCCATGTCCTGCGCCTTCCCCTCCTCCTTCCTGCTGCCGCCTTGGCCTGGCAGCGCCACCTCCCCGACGCCCAGCGCCTCGGCCTTGTACTTCTTCACGAAGTCTTCCATCAGCTTCACCTCGCCCTCGGCCAGGCCGCGGCACTGGGCCGGGTCGTGGTCGTACACCGGGAGCTGCCTCATCAGCTGCCGCCGGCGTTGGTAGGCCCCGTCCGTGCCCGCCACCGGCTGCATGTCCTTGGGGAGCAGCTCCATGTACTGCATGGCCTGGAGGGGGTGAGAGGCGACAGTCAGCATCACCGACCCCCTGCCCGCCTCCCCCTCTCACCTTCCAACCCGCCATTTAGCAATAAAAGGCCAAATTTACTCGGATGCAGGTAGCAGCCAGGCTATCGCTGATCAGTGACAGTTTTCATCCTCAGAAAACACAGGCAGAAATGGCTTTGTTCTGCTGCATACCTCGCTGTGTTCACCCAGAACCAGATCACTGCAGCATCAGACACTGCAGGCTACGCTTGCATGAAGCTCCTCATGTCGTGCACTTCGGGCAGTGCCAAAAGACAACGACCTACTGACAGCTCCCCCAGCTCCTGCTGGGTTTGCTGGTTGGCATCCAGATCCCACCATACCCTCCCTTGCCAGCAGCAGGACAGAAAACAAGGCTGCTGAAAAGACCAGAAACTCATCAAAGTTCATCTGTAAACTGGAGACCAGCCAGTGTCACCCTGCCATAGGGACTGGGAGCCTGAGGAACACGTTCCTTACAGCGAGGAACTGAGAACAGCACCCCACAGCCCCCCACTAAATGCACACAGTGAAAAGTCCCTTTACAATTCACGTAAAATCCTAATAAAAAAAGTAATCAGATGTCTGTTGAGCCTGCACCTCCAAGACCCACACTACTGGACTACAGATTTTGCAGTAAAGGGAAGGTGTTTTGCCACTGATGCCCTGCAAAGTGGGAAGCAGATGCCAAGAAACTGTCTCTGAAGTTTAGTCTCCTACTCAGCTGGCCCGCAGCCACTGCCATAAGAGCAGAGTAAACGGATCCTGGAGAGGTCTGTCCCAGGCTGGATCAACATCTGCAGGAAGGGGGGGCTGCGCAGCTAACTTCTTTCTGGCCTGGTGCTTAAAGGGAAGGGAGTTTCCCACTCAAGACATTTTTCCTATTGTAGTGTGAAGAGGGAACGGGCAGCCAGTTGGCTCGTTGCCACTGAGTTTTAAAGACCAGCATCCAGCTGCATTAGATTTGTTTCTTACTTGGTCAGCATTTGAAAATTGAATTTTAAGGGAATGGAGAAGTGATTAACTATTCACTGTGCATAGTCTAGCTCAATATAGCCTTTTAAATACAGAAACGTGACACTGAACAGCTCATCATGCTTGTGTAAATTTCAAAGGCAGTTTCCACTTCAGCTACTCGCAGCCAAACAGCAATATTCAGGGCAATATTCCCCCCTGAAGGTTTGTGACAGCAAAAAACAAATGATTTAATGGAGTTGGGCCTCCCTCCCCATGTCTTGGAGCATATGCTAATGTTGCTGCACATTGCATTAGACATCAAAATTCAGTCTATTGTGCCTCTGTGCACTGGTAGGATTGGTATCTAGAAGTTTGCAGAGGCACGGTGGTAGCCTCACGGGAGAAGGTGCTGCTTGGGAAAAATGGGCTACAAAGCCAGAGGTTGCAGTAAAAACCATTTGCTACAAAGATGGTTTTTACAGAAGCCAAGAGGCCTAATAGGAAGCAAAAGACAAAAGCAGAACCACAGAAGCAAAAGACAAAAATTTACTTAAAGCTCATCCCAGGCCTCACACAGCGTGCCTCAAAAAATAAAGATACTGCCATCAATACTCGGCAGCTGGAAAGAAAAGCAAACTAGATATCTCGCTGCTGTATGGTGATGAACTTTAAGACAGAGTACACAAAGCAGCCTGCTGGCTTGGTTCAGCTGCAGCAGGAGCACTAGCGGGCAGTAGCTTGGTGTAACCTCAGTGGAAGAAGGAATGCAATACAAATGGGCCAGCACCAACGCACACTTACCAGAGCTACGAGAGCAGCAAAGTGCCAGCACATGCATCTGAAGCATCGTGTTCTTCTCCAGTGCCAGGCTTTGAGCAATGCCTCCAGCCCTTCTTACAAGGACAGCCGTACTGGCCAGTGGCACTTAGCATTTGTGCAGACATTCAGTGTGACTTCACTCCCCGGCTCAAGGGAATGCTTAAGGTTATAACTGCACGTGTCTTAAAATGTGTCCGGAGAATAGACCAGGAAAAATAATTCAGCCTGACACCAAAACTGAAATAAACGATAATAAAAAGCTGCTTCTATTGCTACTATTATGTATTACTGTTGTCAAATGCTTTATTATGGTGCCTTAGCACAGATCATTTTGAGGAAGACCATTTTAAGTTTTCAGCACTGTTAACTACTTTTTTTTTTTTTTAAAGAGATATTTTAAGACCTGCTCTTTCTACTTTCCCCAAAGACCCTGAATATCTACTTCATAACTTATCCAGACATGGCTTAATGAAAACGTACTCTGAGCTTCCCCTGTTATTGGACCAGCCACTTCAGGACAATGTGGGAAAAAAAAAATCCCCAGCTTCCACTTTGCCTTCAGAAGGAAATCACTGGAGCGAGTCAGTTCTGCACTAAAAGCTTTTTGGCCAAAGTCCGTTTTGAACTAATCAAGAATTGTTGACATCCAATATTCTTCCTGAGTTTGTCAAGTTGATCATTAAGCCAAAATTTATCAAGGTTGTCTTTAAAGTTCCTGAGCACTGTTTACTCAAACTACGATAACTTCCAATCTGTTCAGGCACTACTTCAACTCCGAAAGGCAAGAAGTTCCAAAGCTCCACGAAATGCCTGAGTTTGAGCCTCCCCCCTTGCTGGCTCTGCAGGGACTGAATGCGATGCTCTGGGTCATGGAGCTGGCAAGGACCCGGCCCTGCTGTGCCCTCCTGCTCAGTGCTGCACGCTGCAATCACAGACGCATGCCTGCAAGAGGCATGTCTGGGCTCAGGGTCACAGAAGGAAGCAGCACGGCAACAGCAGGCTTTGGGCTTCCTTCGCTGTACAGAGCTGACCCTGTCCCGAGGTGCCAGCTGCCAGCAGCACCTCTCTGCAGCCAGCTTTTAGCAGTGAAAATTGAATTTCTGATAAATCCCGGGCTGGGCAGCTGCTTAATAAATCATGCTACGTTGGAGAAGTGCCATCATTGTTCTCCCCATCCCTCAACAAGTTCCCTAATTCCCCCTGGGACCCGTGGAAGGCAAACACTGGTTAAACAAACATTCCTGCTTTGCTAGCTCCTACCAAAAGAAAAAAAAAAAGTAAAGGAAAGGAAACTACAAGCAGTAGCACTATGATTAAGCAGCCAGACAGTCAAGTAAGTGGGAGTCTTGGTCCCTTGCTGAAGCCCAGGGGTCTGCTCCCATCAGCACAAGCTGGTTCTAGAGCTGCGTGCCCATCTGCGTTTCCAGTGCGGACCTCGTGGCAGCTCCCGTCCAGCCTTCCCAACAGGGCGAGGACTACTGAGCTTAAGAGTACAGAACAGGTCTGTCACTCGGGTCTGCAGCTGCAATTTCCACATTTGTTTCCCAATTCGTCTTCTAAAAAAATCTGGTTGCAATTTTAAGCAGCTTTAAACTATTTGTTTAATTTGAAGAGCAAAAGCTGTCCACTAATGACGGTGTGATGTGTAATGTTTTCAGTACCACAGCACAGCTGAAGTGCAGTTAAGTGCTTTCCCTCCAGCAGTCCCCTCCTGGGCAACTGATTTCCACACGCCTGAAACCACTTCCATGCGTTCCCACAGCAGCGTTATTGCTGACCCAGGCAAACCAGGCACAGGAAGCTGGGACGGGGCTGGGGGCTTTCTTTCTTTTCCCCACGGGACAGCCCAGATGGGATCTCTCCTCAGCAGTGTTTCATTGGACATGAATGCTACCAAAGGAGCGAGCCTTCTTGTAAAACATGCACCAACTTCTCCTAGAAATGTAAGCAAGCCTATACAAACCTAAAGGCAACCCATCCCTCTCTTCTACCTGCTTTGGTTATTAACATGGCTTTCCAAAATACTAAACGTCATGTTCAGTTTTGCTCTGGGAGGCAAACCACCTGCTTTGCTATTTTTCATGGTAACTTTATTCCAAAGCCGAGCCGTGTTCCCTTACCAGCTTCTGGGTGAGCCCTGGTGGAGCCCACTCATACGTGATGGTGTCGAAGGTGGGGTCCTTCCGCGACACGATGGGGTTGGTGATGATCATGCGGTTCCTTTTGTAAATGCGGACGCCATCCCCTCCTTTCACCCGGGCAGTGAGCGTGGCGTACTTGGAATCCGTCAGCAGGCGGCCAATTTTCCGGTCATCCTCCAAGTCGGAGCTCAGGCTGTGATCCTCCTGGCTGCATTTGCATGACTTGCATATTTTCCTGCGAGCGACAAGCGAGATCGTCCTTTTGATACGACCGTGGTGGCAGGAGGCACGCGCTTTTTCAAAGGCTCTGCCACCGAGATCCAGCCACGCTAAAAGGGTAAATGCAAACTGGGCTGGTGACATAGGCCAGCAGGCTTCCCTGGCACGAGCCGTGGGGCTGGAGCAGAGCTGTCAGCCTTGGCACTGTCCCACGAAGGCACCACCAGACCCCCCCAGCCTCACCAGCCTCCCCTGCTACAAGGCTTTACGCACCTTTAAATAGGTGACCACTGGCAGGGGAACTGACAGCCACACAACCAGCATTTTAAGGTGATGGACTTGGTGATCCTTGGGGATCCCGCTCCCAGCTCAGGGTATTCTAATCACAATGGCTGTAAACCAAAGCTGGCTCTGTAAGACCATTCTCTGCTGGACAACTTTTCCATCGAGTTTTAAAAGGACAGACTAACTCTGATGCAACCTGAAGTATTTCAGCAGGGTCTTGGAACAAGTATGAGTCAAACCATTCTCTAATTGCATCAATTAAAGAAGTAGTCATGAACCAAATTAAAATAAAATAACAGTTTCAGAGAAGGAAGGGGGACGGAGAACAGGGAGCACAAACCTCCTGCACCATCGCAGCAGTGCCCAAGCACTCTGCAGCTTTTCTTTGCCCTCAAAGCCACCAATATAACACCAACAGGACCCGAAAGGACAGCCTCAGAGGTAGGGCCCGTCCCAGCAGAGACATTACCTCCAAGAATGTGGCTCGAAGCCTGTGCACGACCCTCTGCAGCGTAAGCATGGCACACCTCTTCCCGACTGCTGCTGGCCCACCGACATCTGGAAAAGAGCAGAACAGTTGGAAAGGTTCACTTCTCAAAGACCATCCAAGGCTTGAGTGCTAGCCCCACTCTCAGTCCTTCAGATGCTGAATTCTTTGGCCATGCCTTACACGCCGTGATGCCCTAAAGCTCCCAGATGCTGTCTGATCCCTGTGCACGTAGGCTGGCTATGGGATTCCACAGGGATGCCTGGGTTGAAGTTTTTTACCATAAATTGAGAGAAGGCCACATGCCAGAGTCATAACTGGCCTGGGACACTGTGAGGAAGGTGGCTTCGAGCTGGCACATCCAGCACACACATGGTGCTGGGCAGCCCCCCTTGTGGGCTTACTACAATATTATTTGCAGTCAACTCACACAGCACATATGCATCTGTGCAAGCCAGAGAGACTTCACGGCACGCTGTTAAAGCCAGAAGCAGATACCTGGGTGCAAGCTACCAGAGGACGTGATGCCCCAGAATGCCCACCCCATGGCACAGCAGCAGAGCCCCGGCCGAGGAGCACCGCTGTGCAGCAAGGTTGGGGCGACCTGATGCTGCCGCGATCTGATGCTGCCAGCTGCAGCACAGCCTGCACCTCCTCGGTCTGTCCTGCGGGCACTCACATGTATCTGGGGCGTAACACATCCCCTCATCCCGGGTGCTGCGCTTTATGGGTGCTTTCCATGGTGAAGAGGAAATGCAGCAGGGAAGGGCTCCGGGAGGAAAGGCAGCGGGAGGGGAAAACTGCTGTGCTCGCAGCAGTTACATACATGGGTGCTCGCTGCCGCACAGACAGCCCTGACAGCCTCCCAGCAGCAGGCAGGCAAGTGCAAGGAGTCACAGCAGGAGCCAATAACGCCGAGAATAAACTTATTTGAGTGTCTGTGCCGCAGACTTATTGAACATGGCTGTGTGAATGTGAGGAATGCAGGAGGGTACAGTGGGAGCCAAGACGCGAGGGCTGCAGGAAGCATCGGGGAGGGACGCGGCGGGCGCTGGGCTCGTCGGCCTGGCTGTTTTTACAGACTCCTGTCTGAAAGACACCTTTGTTCCCTGTAAAAATGGGCTTAGGGAAAACAATTCCAGCAGCCCCAGAGGGTTACTGTCTGCAAGCAAAGCTGCAGCCAGCTCTCTGCTCTGCCACCCACACCAGCACACCCCGTACTCCCAGTCCTTGGGAGGCATTGTGAAATGCCAGCCTCCTGCAATTTCCTGACCACTTTGAAGCTCATTTTCCTTTGACACTTAATGCGTACAAATCTTGCACTACCCTGCCCATTTTGTTTGCTCCCATGCACGCAGTCCATGTACACTTATTCTTCTAGACGTAGCAGCTCGTTCCAGGCATCGGCCAGGCACTGGTGTGCGCGCAGTCGGAGCCCTTCCCAACACAGCGAAGGCTGCAGAGGCTCCCAGTGCTTGAGCAGGGTGGTGCTGCCTGCGCAATCTTAATTCAGCCCACGTGTGTTTCCGAGCTGTGCTCATCCCGCCACACGACCTGTGCTCCTCCTGCACCAGCTCCCCTTTGTTTTTTTTCTCTTCCCATTTCTTTTTCCTTGAGAAACCCAGCCCCATCGGTACAAAATGGTCCGGTTCCAGCTCCCTTTGTCCAAGGGACTGCCAGCTCAGTTGTGCCTCTGATTTCACCTTCTTTTTCATTTCAGATTTCACCTTCAGTCTTTCCAGGCATTTTGAAGCCATTGAAAGGCCAGACCTCTCATCCTGGGAATTCATAAAAATACATCTCTAAACAGCCTTAACATGCACTTGAGTGCATGCACACACATTCCCCCTGCCTCTAGCATGCAGAAAATAGGATGCTTTTGATTCTTCAGCTCTGACCCAGCTCTCCAGAACAGACACGCATTTACATTTCCGACACACAGACCTCTGTAAATCTCAGTTCTGGAACCGTGTGCTACATATCTACCTTTTTTTTTTTAAATGACTCTAATCTTAATGAACCAGACAGAAGCTGAGTACAGACAAGGGACTGTGATACAGATGAGGGACTATGAATGTTTGTTTATTCAAAATGCAAACATCTGGATTAAATAAACTAATTTGGAAAAGCCTCATTATATAGCCCATGCAGATGGGGAGCAAAGAGAAAAGCACTGTCAGCAGCAAGAGCACATGGAGCCACCCCACAAGACAACCCGAAGCCTTGGCGTCCCAGGTAACAGCGTGGGAGCTCGGCCGTCCAGGGGGTGGCCACCTGCCTGCAGCCTTCACGCTGGTATGCAAACCTGGTATTTTTTTACTGCCTGAGGGTTCATGGGCCCCTGTTACAAAAGCTTTCAGCTCCAAATGCTGCCCAGTGCATCCTGAAGCCTTGTGAACAGCCCAGCTGGGGAGTGAGGTGCCCACGCTGCTGTGTATGGAACCGCCGCCAGCTCGGCCATGGAAGGACGAGTCTGGAGGACCTCATACAAAAAGGGGCTAAAAATTTCTGTTCAGCTATCGGCTTCTTCTGCTGACATGAACACGAGTGAGGGCCTTTGAGATGCCACCCTGTAGCAGATATTGGCTTGGTGAAGCTTACCAGACCGGCTGAAATGCAGGTTGCACCTCCCCACCTGCCACCTTGGCACAGTTCCTCTGCAAACACCACCCTGGGGAAGTGCTTTTGAACCTTCACTACGGTCTCACTGGTTACACATTTACTCAGCTGAAACGCATACAGCAAAATGGATCAGATTTGATACACTGAACTCTCAGCTCTCATCTGGAACTGCCACTGTTTCACCCGCAGAACAAAGCTGTGGGCATTAAGGGGAAATCCCCACCTCTGAGCTAAGTACTGAAGGTTGGGGATCTGTTTCCTTAAGATGGAGCTGAAGTCCCAGCCATTATTTTCCACCACACACAAATTCAGACCTGCAGAGAAGACCCAGCCACCATCCTTCCCATTTGTGCAATTGCTCTCGCCAAGCCCCGATGCCTTCACCATCAGGAGCTTCAGTTCTCTGTGGAAACAGAAGTTTTTGCAGGTGTCCATAGCACGACTCACTGCTCCTCACCACGCATGGCAGCCGCAACTCTAGAGCTATAGGAAATGTATGGAAAAAATATGAAAATCCAGCAGCTCTTCAAAGCAACGTGCAGCTCCTGGGATGGCTCGGGTTCCTCTGCCCTTTGAGGTGCAGGTCTGCAGCTGTAGGGGAAGGGGCTGGGACAGCAGCTCATCCCCACCACTGCCTGCAGGGCAGCGTGAGTGGCCCTGTGAACCTGGGGGACATCCCCATGGCGGGGGCAAATCCTGCCAAATGCTCCTGAGCCCCCTCCACACGGGTCAGGGCACTCAGCCACCACCTCTCACATTTCCTCCTGGAGCTCTGACTTCTCCAGGCAGCCTCTGCCCTCGCGAGGACGTGGAGCACGGCAATGTCTCTGTAGCTGGGGGACAGCTTCTCTCTCCCCCAGCAGCGCAGGGAGCTCTGGGCTCCTTTTTCCCATCGCAGCACAGGGGCCAGCCACAACAGGAGCCGTGCCGGCTGCTCGGGCTGCCTGGTCAGCAGGGCTCCCTGCCCAGATATGGAGCCTCTCCTCGCGGCTCAGCTCTAGCTCCTCAAATACGCATAAAAGGAGATTTCTCATTAAAAAAAGAAAAAAGAAAAACAAGACATATAAGATGGCAAAGACCACCAAACCCAGTAAGACTGTGAAACGGACTGTCCTGGACTCCGCCTATGCCCAAGCCCATCTGGATACAGCAATTTTAAAAGAGATGCGAGAGTTTAAGACGTGAAGAGTGAAGACATTTGTAACGCCTTTACAAAAATGTCTGTGTCAACAAACTGCTTGGAAGAAAAGCAAATTCTGCTCACCATGACTAGATATACAACGCACTTTAAGATTTCTGTTTTGGCTTTTAGTCTGATAGCATTCTTGCTACTAAGAGAGAGAAAGCAAGTCGGGGCAGAGGAAATTCTTAGGCAGTGAAATGATAGGAAACTGAGGCCATTCTACCCACAAAAACATCTCTGAACAATCTCAGGAATATGCCAGCTTCTTGGTCAGTGTAATGCTGTGGTTCGTTACACTGGCCAAAGGCAGGGCCATCCTAGACACTGGTAAGTTTGCTCAGTTTTTGAAAATAGGGAACCTACAATGCCAAGTGCCTCGGGAAAAACAGAACAAAACAAAACTTCATTCCTGCTTGATTTAGACTTGAGGACAAAGGAGCACTGAGCTCCCAGAGCAGGTCCACCCGGCAGGATGGACCCCTGGCTAGAAGTTAGGAGCCGGTCGAGGTCCAGCCCCACCAGCTTGCTCTGCTCACGGCTCAGCTGCGATTCCAGAAGGTTTGGGTGCATCACCGCCCCCTGACCGGTCCAGCACACCTTGGCCATCAGCCATTTGGTCTGCTGAAGTTAGCTTGACAACAGAGCTTGTTGCAAGGGGACCGTCCCCAATGACACACGGAAAAAACACTGCTTCCACATCCCCTTGACTTGAAAGCCCTTTTAAATAAGCTTCTTTCCACTCTCCTCACAACACTGGCTTTAAGTGCCACAGATTTAGTACATCCAAGAAGAGGAGACTTCAGACTAAGCTTGGGTAAGAGTTTTCCGGCAAATGGTCCTCAAGTAAAAACCCTGCCATGCCTGGGCTATTGCCACAGGGAAACCAGCCAAACTTTGGGACCACAAAGGGGCCGAGCGGACAGAGCAGCTACAGCGAGCATGGTCCCTCAGAAACGAGCCCTCCCTGCTAGCTGCATCCCCGGGAACACAAGTACTTTCCATCCTTAGGCGTAATTGGCTCCATACGGACACGAAGCCCCTTTAGCTGTCACGGGTTTGTGGTCTGCACACATCCAGTCTGACACCATAGTGATAAACAGCTCAGCACCACAAACATCAGCAGTCGGGGTGGCTGCCGAGGTCCCTGCGGACAGTGACCAACAGGCTGATACAGGCTGCAGGGCGGAAAAAATGCCTTGGGCTGTACTTAACACCTCCGCTTTGTTTAGCCTCAGAAGCACGGGGCAGCTCTAGCACACTGCTCCCAGGAAACTCATTCCTTGAGAGCCAACTGCTTTATGGACTAATGGGTGGATGAAATTTAATATTAATACAAACTTTAAACAGCGCTCACAAGAAGGGCGGTACGGGAAAGCTAACACCCTGCCATCCTCAGCTAATAGCTGCTTTTGCAGAGGTTGATTTATCTCATGTCACCGCAGGATCAGGAAGCTCCACTTAATGTCTAATACACAGATTAACCAAGCGCCAGGAGAAGCCCACAGCAGTATTTTGCTTTCCTTTAAGGACTGTGAGATTGAGCCACGAGGGAACTGAGCACAGTAAGAGCAGACCGACGTCTAACCCAGCTGAGCAGGTGCAGATTGGGCTGCACTGTCTCTCTTTGGCCATGCACAAGCACAGGGTCAAGACAAATTCGTTTCTCCTCCAGCAGAAGCGTGCTACTGCACGGGGCTGCAGCAGACGGGGACTTGGCTCAGTGACTCCACAAGGAAGGTGGAAACGGGAGGGCAGAGCCAGCTCCAGCTGCAAAGTCAGTCACCACAACAAAAGGACAATTGCTGAAGTGAGGAGATCCTTATCTGCTCAGGGATGCTTAGGTCACGCTCCCCTGGGAGACCTTTAATCATCTTTCCTCCTGTGTACCCACGGGGCCTCGGTCTAACCACAAAGCTGAACTGCAGCAGGTGGGAAACGCCCTGGAAGGAGGAGGCTCCGTGGGGCAGCAGGGCCTCGCTGCGAGTGCCAGCCCCATGCCCCAGACAGCTCCAGCCAAATGGCAAATTTGGCTAATATGGTTATTAATCAAAGGCCCTGAAAGCTTCCAAGAACATATGCCTTCCTGAGCGGGTGTTGCATGCAGCGGTCGGACAGGAGGCAGCTCGCTGAGCTCCACGCCAGCGGAGGACACGGGGACGGGCTGTTGGGTGACACCCATGGCACCGCTCCCTGGCACCCTGACTGCTCCCTGGCACCGTGACAACTCCCTGGCACTGCTGCACAAGCCATCCTGCACCCTCCGGCCTCTGGCAGGGCTTTTGGGGCTGGCTGCGGCAGCTCCAGAAGGGCCTGGCTGAGCGGGGCCCTCCTGCATCTGCAGCGAGCCTTCTGGATCCCGCAAGCACTCGTTACACAACACCTTATTTGGAGGCTAAAAACGGCAATGGAGACACGTAACTACCTCAAGTATGCTTCCTCCTCCTTTTTAGGGAGAGAGGAGGAAAAGCTGGCTTCCAAAAAGTTACTACACGTTGACAACAGCACTGAGAGCCGAGGTCCTGGTTTCACCTCTCCCTGTGGCAGAGCTGAGGACACAAGGCAAGCTTCTGGTGCAGCCTCAAAGACCCTCGCAGCCTTGGCATTGGACACCCTGCCCCCAAAGTCCCAGTCCAGGCACCACATGAACCCCCCGGGTGGGGTTCCTCCAGCTGCAACAAATTTCAGAGATTAACAATTGTAGCTTTGAGAAAGCCCCGAACAAAGAGAAAAGGAAACGGCAGATCGTATTCACATGGGTGGGACTGGTTTGCTCAGTGCAATTGTGGAGTCTCAAGGATACAGATGGGTAGCAATTAATTTGGTGTCATTATTTGACTATAACAGAGCTAAGCTCACATAATGGGAGCTAAGTCAAGCTTCCTCAAAGGAAGTCCAGTAACTGGAGGGTGTAAACATTTACACGCAGCAGAAGAGGTGGCTCTATGGCAATGAGGGGAATGCTGCAAGTTCTGCAAAAGTACAACACCCCAAGTCAGAGCTACGAGGTCCTGCATGGGCCAGGGGAGGAAAATCAGCCAACAGCAAAATATTACCACGTCCAAGGGGCTGGGTTTTAGCTAAAGGCAAGAACTAAGACTCAGTACATAGAGAAAGCCTCTTCGGTTGCACTTTCCCTCCATCTGCAGGTCCAGCAGGGCAGATTTGCAGCGATTGTTCTATTATTGCTATTATATCCAGGTGTAAGAGGCACCTCACCGTCCCCTCTCCAGCCTCAGCCCCAGCACACATGTAACCGCCTCTCCCGAAAAGAGTGAGCTCCGAATCCTCCTGCTGGGCCGGGCCTGGAGGCTCCAACCTCTGCCAAAGCGGCAGCACCAGGTGGTGGCTAGGAAAAGCTTCTTGGCATGCCCAGGGACGTGCAGTGAGCTGCCCATGGCAGCCCCCCCGAGACCCCAGGCTCCCTGCAAGTACATCCCAGCCACAGCCAGGCACTGCTGCAAACCCACAGCACGCTGGCAGCTGGGATGGAGCCAACAGAGACCAACCCCAGGGCATGCAGAGGGGGAGACTGCCCTAAATCTGAGGCAAAGCAGGACACTGCTGCACTCCCACTGAAACAGCTCCTCTGCTGCTCCCTGCAACTGGTACAGCAGCCAGCACTGCTCCAACGCTGAGCACAGACTTTGCTGCACACTACCAGGAGTCCTCAAGGTATCCCTGCTTCAAACAGCTGTACAGAGTAAAGGTAGCCTGGGTAATAGGCACTCCGAGCCAGCAAGAAACACACGTCAAATATTCTTACTTCTATTCTCATTTCTTAATTCAAGCTGAAAAGCAGCAGCACTCAGATAAATGAGGTTGTCAGTAACCTGGTCCAATTACCAGGAGAGGTTTTTCCCTTCAGTGGTTCCTACTGCTGGCAAAAGGATCACATTAATCTAACAAATCTGAACTTGTGTGTGCTTGTTTAAATAAGGGCCTTTCAGTTGCATCACTCGATTAGCTTTTGTATACATATATTTAAGTGCAAGGGCAGTTACCACTGCTCAGGGTACTGAGCAGTTTGCCTTTCAACAAAGCAGTACAGCAGGACAGTCCCAAAGGCTGTGAATGCTGCTTAGCAGATAGCTCAAAGTGGAATTTAAATGAATGTCAAAAAAACACTTTTTGGTGTTACCTAAACGATGATCCAGAATTTCAGGTAACCACAGAGGCATTGAAAACTTGGCTTAAAGGCCCCCAAAAGGGAAGGCTGGATACCTCCGGAAGGGGGAAAAAATAACCACAAAACCACAGATATTTTGAAAGTATTTAATTTGCCTCCTAAAATAGTGAGTTAAGATCCTTTCATCATTGTAGGTGAATCCCAATCAGCCCTCCCTTGGGTAGCAGAAGCCCCCTTTCAAAAGCTCGACCTCAAGCATCTTAATTCGTAATTTGGATGGGCAATCCATCTCACTCAGCATTTTCCTAGATAGTTTTCCAGTCTAAACCTTATTAATAAATTCCTTTAGGAAGGGGATCACCTGTTTCTCATTAAGCCTGCCTCTCAAACTGGGGGAAAGTGCCCCAAAAAGACTGCAAGTAGCTCTTGTGGAGTTGTTCTCCAGGAGCCAGCGCTGAGCAGGACCTGCAGGGCACCCAACTGCTCCCTGGTGAGCACAGGCAGAGCCCAGGGAAGCAGAGCAATGCCACTTGGCACAGCAGGCACGAGCATCAGAGCCGAGCAGAAAACACCCAAAGCAGACCTCTGAGCAGCCAGAGCCAGGTAGCAGGGACAGCCTCTGGAATGGGCAGCTCAGGACAAGATTTATTTTTGAAGGGGTTGCTTGACAGTGGCTGCAAATGGAATAAACTTGTGCAAGTGCGAGCAACTGCTCTTCAAAGTACATTCATCAGTTCTGCACATGCTCCTATCTATAATAATTTTGACTTGGAACAGCAAAGGATAGCTTTGATTTGTTTTCTTTTCATAGATGAAAAACATCTATTGTAGCCTTAACTTAAAAGCTATTTGTTTCCCTACCAGATTCTGAGCAGCTATCCAAATTACCAGGCTCACAGAAAAAAAAAAGTGACATTCATGAAGATTGTCTTAAAACCTAATGAGAATTTGAAGTCAGTCAGTGAATGAGTTAGTACTATCTAGAATACTGGAGGCTCTAATTGATATTACACTTTGTGAAGTAAGAAGTTTATTGCCTTTTATTTTAGCAGCATAAAGACCAGGGAAAGGCACTGATATCTGAGGAAACTATTTCAATAGAGCTGCCAGATCTCAACCTACAGGATGACAGAGATAACAGAACCAGAGCCTCTGCAAATATCTTGCTCTTCCAACAGCACATTGTTGGCAGGATTCCTTTCTCCACTAACAATGTGTGAATTAATGATAAGAGAAGGGCAAATTAAAAAAATACGATGAATAGATTTTTCCACAAACAAGACAGTGCTTCAGACACTTGGTCTCAACTATAAGAACAAAACAAGCTGCGAGTAGGTGCATGGAATGGGAAGAACCCACCCAAATTTAATTAAACAGCAGCTGTAATAAGTTCCAAAGTGCTCAGGTAAGTGTCTCATTTTAGCCATCAATTCCCTTCCCACAAGCCAGCTTTGTCCTTCCCACTTCCAGCAGTGGAAACGGTGCGGAGCCATCATCAGGAGCTGCGCTTTCCATCACTGCATTGACATTTTGCATTGCAGGAGCTACTCCCATCAGGTTTTTTGTACAACATCCTTGATTTAGTCCTCCTAAATCCCTTCTCAGCTTGACCATTCATATTTTACAGCTGCTGAGATTGAGACATAAAGCTGAAGGCATGCCCGAAGGAACTGTGGCAGAGCACATGAAGTACAGCAGAACTTCTCCAGGTGTCCAGAGGCAGCAAGGCAAGTCAGAGCTCATCCTGGGGCTGCCCAGAGCCCTGCTGCAGAAGCTGAGGAGCTGTGCCACCTCCCACTGGCAGAGCCTGAGCACCTGGGCACCGTGCTTTTGGGTAGGTTTGCAGTCACACACTCCTGCTAAGAGGACAGTAGATGTTTTCTTTCCAGGTTGTCTTCCAAGAGTGGAAATAGCTTCCCCAAAACCTTTCCCTTTCTTTCAGCCTCATCTTTAAATGAAGCAATAGCTTCAAGCTAGGACAGCTAAATACTGCTTTTCCTGAATGGCTGAAATACACATTTTTTTAATATATATTTAAAAAAAGAAAAGTCTCAGCCTAAACAAACACTCCAGACACTCCCTCCCTGCAGGATGAGAAGGATTTTGTAACTTGTAAATTGTGTTTTATGGGGCTAGGTTTAGTCCTGAGTCCAAGTCCCAAAATAAGCTCTTTAACCCATGTGTGCTTTATGATTTCATATCTATAAATACTTGTTCACAGAGCCAAGCAGGTTTCTGCATTAAGATCAACATCTGTTTCTCCATGACAGCTGCAGCAGCATTTCCTCCCTTTGGCTCCAACACAATGCCGCTGGCAGCTCTGAGCAGGGATTTAGACACAGCAGCACACCACCTTTCAGAGGGTATGCAGGGCAATGGTCATCTCCCCAGGCCGTGTGTAACCTCTTGTACCTACACTGGGGCAAAACACCTCGCCAGGACGAGGCAGCTTTACGGAGAAGGGATCAGCCCTTCACAGGGAAACACTGCACTTCTATTAACAGAGCAGGACTGGGAACTACGGGCACAAGAAGTCTCCAACAGATAAATAACTTTCTATGGTCTAATTGTTAAAAATTATGAGGTCCAACTTCCAACAGCAAGGATGAAGTTGCTTGTACAGTCCCTGACAGTGTTTACACAAGAGAGCACTCACGCATTTAAGTGACTGATGTGATTGCCTCGCATGCATGATCCCTGCAGCTCATGTTTACTATCTTTATTGCTGCACACTCAGATTGCTTCGGAGTGGCTTTGGACAGACTATAGATTTCACAGATGTGTTCTGTGGAAGACTACTTTTAGGCGTAACCTTCACTGTTTGAGAGCTCAGTGTCTAACCACAAAGGCAGCCATCTGCCCAAGCTCTGCAGAGCAGACGTTCTGAAGGGAAAGCACAGTTGTGGACTTAGCCCAAAAATCCTGTCTTCATCCAGGGACGCAGTTTATGAAGAAATGAATGAAAAAGCTGAGGCTCCAATACACTCTAGCTTTTAAATGCCCTACATTTTGGACTTAAGGGGCAAGATCCCAAGCCTTAATAGCATTCCCACACACATCTGCAGATATGTGCGCAGAATATTCAGGTGTTCAGACACGTTGCTGATGGCAAAGAGGTTTTGCCTCTCCCCAGGGTCAGCAACATCCAGACCTCTGCACCTTGCAGGTCTCACCACAGCAACAGCAGCGCTTTCTTCCTGTCCTACCATTTGTCTGCTTTGGATGCTTGCAAAAAATCCACACTGGAGAACTGAAGAAATAAAAAGTTACGGAACCAAAAGTTGTATTAACTGAGTAAACTTTACCTTGGCTTTTAACAGCACTTTTAGCTTAGAGGGTTATTTTCTTCTCCTGAAAAAAGACTGAATTTAGTGAGAACAGTACACAAATCCTGATGCCTTCTGCCTTCGCAGTCCAGTTGAAATAGCTCCAGGAAAGCACAAAATGCCAGCCATCATGCTTTATCTTGGTTTCGAGCTTTAACTCTCCATTTAGAATTTAATCTAAACAACCCATTTGCCAAACAGAATGCCGTCCTGCTCATGCTGTTTTAATTTCCTCAGAAAGAATCCCATAATACGCTAGGCAAGACATCAACAATAATTAAACCCAACAGTGATTGAAAATCAAATTTTCAGGGCCTTGCAGCAAGCCCTAATGAGTTCCAGACTCGCCTTCCCCGACTTGCTCAAACTGGTTGCGCGACGCTGCCAAGCCAAATTAAAGTTTGACAGTATTTCACCCTCTGCCCAGAAAAAGTGCCCTTCTCATGATTCAGGAAATTAAACAGCCGTCTACCGCAAAGACGCCCATTTGTCTTTGGACGTGTATTATCCAGACTGATCCAGGTTCAGTATTTTTCTTGTTCTTGTTATGCCGTTTTGTTTCCCTTTCAAAGGGCAGAATAGCTGGGACTTTTCTTTGTATGCTGTTGTGCCCAGTGCCAGCTGAGGTGAACTGGGACAGCCAGCCTGTCAGAAGAGGTACACAGAGATGGGGTATTCGCCTCCCTCACTCCACGCAGGAGATGTTAAGCTCCACACTGCCTGGTCACGAGTGACCACAAGAAAACACATCCTGCAGGAGCGCACCCTTCCACTGCAGGCACTTTCTGCTGTTCCTTCTACAGATTTAAGTGAAATTGCAGCTAAAGATGTCATCTCTGTGATGGTGGATCTTTACGGTCCCTTACCCTTCCACCAAAGGGAGACAAGCATCAGGTTGCCAGGTTTCTGCACAGAGAAACCTTACAGAGGGTTTTAAGCCCTTTGACCTACCGCTGCACAGCCTCAGGCTCCAGCCCCTTTGGGGATGACAATCAGAAGCTCCTGGGCAATGGGTCCAGTGCAGAGGCAGCTTTACCACAGTGCGGTCTGCCCAGCCCTCCTTGCTGCCCACATCTTACCCTGCTGCTCCCGGGGCATCTCCAGCCCTGCAAGCAAAGCCCTGGCCAAGGCAGGAAGCACCGTGATGCCTGAGGAAAACCAACAGACCACAGCTCCACGAGCAGCAGCACAATCCTCAGCTGCACCTGCCCATGCAAAGGTGTCACTGAACAGCAAACACCTTGGTCATCCCACCTTGCTGCTGAGCACCAACACCACCCAGGGCAACCTGCACCAAGCAGCCAGCTTCTGCAAAACCCAGCAAACAGCTCGAGCAGCAGCACTGCTCAGAGGCACTGGGACCGAGGCTGACCTGTCCCAGGAGGGGTTTCCGAGGCCAGCACTGGCACAAAGCTCAGGAAGCTGCCATCCCTTGGCTGGGGAGGTCCCGCGGTGCCCCTGTGCTGGCACTGCCCCACCACAGCCATCTGGCAGCGGGAGATGAGATTACAACAGAGTGGAAGCCTCGAAGTGCTGACATTAGGCATTTAACTCATCCCCTAACTATGCGGTGACAAAGGTACATCGAGTAAGGCCGTAAGAGCAGCTGCTCCCTGCCGACCCGTTCCACACGTTTTTATTTAGCGATTAAAGCCCCTTCCACTCAGCCCTCACCGTGCCAAGGGAGGGCTTCAGTTATTCTGGTTCGTTTGCTCATCTGTGGCAGAGACCTGGATTTTCCAGGTAAAAGCGAGCCTTGCAGCGGCCCGACCAAGGGGCACGAGGACTTCCCAGCCCCTACAAAGCCTGGGACGAACCCCCCAGCGCATAACTCGGCCCGACACGAGCTGACCCCGACGGCCCCGAGCGGCTTCCCCAAGAGCCGCACCGACGGGGGCTCGGGGCGCAGCGGCAGGAGCGGGGCCGGGACACCCCGGGGGCTCCATCCCGGTGCGGCTCCATCCCCCGCGGGTCACCGCAGCCAGGAGCGGAGCCGGGAGCCCTGCGGAGCCGTTCCCGGCCGGCAGCGGCGCTCCCCGGGCACTGCGCGGCTCAGCCGCCCCCAGCCGCAGGGCGCGGAACCGAGCGGCGCCTCCCGGCACGGGCAGCACCGGGGAACCGCGCCCGGCTCCGGGGCGGCACCGGCACCGTCCCGGCGGGGCTGAACCGCAGCATCCCGCCCCGCAGCCCGCACCCCCAGCCGCGCACCGCACCGCACCGCGCACCGTCCCGCTCCGCTCCCCCAGCCGCGCACCGCTGCGCACCGCACGGTCCCGCTCCCCCAGCCGCGTCCCGTCCCGTCCCGTGTCCCGCTCCGCGTCCGCGTCCGCGTCCGCGTCCGCGTCCCGTCCGCATCCCCGTCCCGCATCCCCGCCCCACACCTTGCGCGCTCCGTGCCCGGCTCCGTCCCGCGCAGCGCCCGCTGCCCGCCTGCTGCGCGCCTCCCGCCCGGCGCCTTTCATTGGCGGCCCCCGGCGGCCCCCGGCCAATCGGCCGCCGGAACGAACTTTCCTGGCCAATGGGCGCGCGGCGGGGCAGGGCGGGGCGGGGCGCGCTGGGTGCTGCGCGCACGTGTGCGCGGAGCAGGCGCGCAGGGTGCGGGGCGCAGCGCAACGCTGCTGGGTGCAACCCATCCCCATCCCGTCCCCATCCCCGTCCCCATCCCAATCCCAATCCCAATCCCAATCCCATCCCCGTCCCCGTCCCCATCCCCGTCCCCATCCCAATCCCAATCCCAATCCCAATCCCATCCCCGTCCCCGTCCCCATCCCCGTCCCCGTCCCCATCCCAATCCCATCCCCGTCCCCGTCCCCATCCCCGTCCCCGTCCCCATCCCCATCCCAATGCCATCCCCGTCCCCATCCCCGTCCCCATCCCCGTCCCCATCCCCGTCCCCATCCCAATCCCAATCCCAATCCCAATCCCAATCCCATCCCCGTCCCCATCCCATCCCCATCCTCATCCCCGTCCCCATCCCCGTCCCCATCCCATCCCCATCCCCATCCCCGTCCCCATCCCCATCCCCATCCCATCCCCTCTGACCACTCTGCGCCATCCCCCCCAGCCACCACAGCTCCCACCCGGAGCGCAGGGACCAGCAGGAGTAGGCTGGGGCACTTCGTTGCAGCAGCCACTCTGTTGTGTTCTGAGCAGAAGAAAGTGTCTGGAACCATGTTCCTCTTCCTAATTCAGCGTATGCTAAGTGCTGACCTATAGCCTTTGGGTGTTGTTTTTCTGTTTTCCTCTTTTTTTTTTTTTTTGCACAAAAGGGCAGGGTCTCCTGTGCAGTTTCCCACAGACATTCCTGCCCGCTCTGGCTTTAGCAGGGAGGCCCAGCACAAAGCCCCCTTGTCCCGCTGAGGGCGAGGGCCCACACGCGCGGGCTGGCGGCTGGCCCTGTCCCCTGTCCCCCCGCTGTGCCCTCCTCCTGCTGGCGCCGGCGGGACCGTGCTGAAATACCAGGAACCTGCACCCGACCGCCTCCTGACGTCCTGCAAGCAAAGCACAGCTGCCAGCAGCACCCGGCACAGCTCCAGGCTGGACTGTTTCTTTACTGGTGTAATTAAAATAAAAAAGGATCTAAATGACCTTATACTGATTCAGTATCTCACCTGCTGTTACATTTTCTGAGATCCCTTTCAGATATTCACGCAAAGAAGGGAAGCGTGGGGGTCATTTTCACCAGGATTCAGTTTCTGAGGGCACAAAGTGCCTTTTGCTCACCTGCTTCTGCACGTGACCCCGGCAGGAGCCATCGGAGCTCACGTTGCTTGTTGTCCCCAGTGCCTGGATACGCCTCCCCAAAACGAGGGACTGCAAATTGCAGCGGCCGTGTGAAAACGCACGAAGGGCAGCAAAGGTGCCCACGAGGGGACGGGAAGGCAGCGTGGGGTCCATGCTCCTGTCCCATGCTCTGGCCGTGCTCTGCGTGGTCCTGACGTGGCTCTACAGATCGTATGAGAGGAGGGCGCCCTGCAGCTTCCACCCAGGTGTGGCTGCCACTGGGGGCTGCAAGCGGTGCCCCAGGAGCTGGGGTCCCACTTGCGCAATGGCTGTGATCGTTGGGCTGGTCCCTGCAGCCCTGCTGAGGCCGTGTGCTCGCCCCCCAGCAGCTCCTCGCCCTGCGGAGGGGTTCCCTGCTCTGAGAAAAACCCGCGGCAGCCACGGAGGTGGTAGCAGCCTGCTCCAGCAGAGAGGCCGTGGGCACCGGGGCTGGGAAGCCTCCTGGGGAGGGAACGTGCCCTGATAGCAGAGCGATTTTACATGTTTTGGAGGAGATATTTAAACATCCTCAGAACAATCTGGGCTAAGAAGCAAATGCAGAAGAGAAATTGTGGAGAGACGCAGTCCTGCCGGGGACAGCGTGAGCCTGACCTTACAGAGGCATGTGGAGAGCGGCAGCGGGAGCAGCGCGGGGATATTGTTTTTCAGGCCCGTGTCACCAAGGGCTTGGCAGCCACAGAAAACACTTGAAATGGCAATGGGATGACATTAACTCACTTTCCCAATCCACACATGCACATGGCAACCTGGGGAGTAGGAAAGAACTTACAGAGGGATTTCTCAGCCCCGCAAGGCACGGGGTCACGGGCCAGGCCCCCCCGCTCGGGGACGCTGCCGCCGGTCCCCGCTCCCCCGCGGCGAGGTTTGCGCCTCCTGCACGCGTGGAGGGGGGCAGCCTGCTCGTGGGCAGCAAACCCGGGCGGTGGGGATGCATTCTGTGAAAAAGCACAAGTTTTGCTTCCTGGTGTGGTTTTCCACAAGAGCTGCAGGGTGCCAGGTGCCCAGGTGGCTGAGCTGCCCCCACACAACGGAGGCTGTCCGTCAGCGTGGGAGCAGGGGTTGGCACCCTGTGTAATTAGGCTTACTGTTGGAAGAGGATCAAACTAAGATCTGAACGGGTTTCAGAAACACCCAAAATGCTTATATCTACAACAAAATACATCTGGGATTGTTGTAATTGATGATAACACAGAGAAATAACACGATAAGCTGCAGCTAATCCTAGGCAGCCCATGATACAACATCAAGGGCAGATTATTTCTGGTGCTCAGAAACACCGGGTGAAGCACCTGGCAGTGGCTGCTCTCAGGGACGGGAAGCTGGACCGAGCCGGATTTTGCATATTTCAGTCTCCAGTTTTCTGAATGATGCTGGCTGTCATCGGGAAGGCACAGGCGTGACTGCTGCCTTGCAGGATGCCAGCTGCCTCCGCGTCACGGCAGGTTGCGGAGCAGAGATGAGGGCGGAGGGGGAGAGGCAAAGGAAAGTTAAAGTCAGCACCGAGGAGGACCCGAACGCTCAAACTGAGCCGGGCCAGACGCCAACGCCAGTTATCACTGACGGCCTCTGAATAATGAGTCTGTGCTATACTTAGCTCTTTGCTAGGAAGAGACAAAATCATCCCATGACTAAACACAGCTAAATCTCTGCGGTAGTCATGGCCCATAAATTGACGACAAATTGACAAAAGGGAAAGATGCTCAACTATGAGAAAGAGAGATTTTGGGCTTCCTGTTGACTCACCAGCAGTGTGTATCAGGACAAAACGATCCCCAAAGAGGTGTCACTGGAGCATGGCTTCGACAAAAATAGCTGCTGGCTGAAATAATGTCAGTAAAATTTAGGAATTAGTAATCATTTCTTAACCAAGCAGAGCTCCTCTCTTCTTTTGACATGATGCTGCAGATGAAACCAGACTTCCTGTCTCCTTTGAGTTCATCGTTATTTGTCTGTAGGGTCAGGAGTTTATTGGGATCACTGAGGACAGGGGAGGAAAGATGTATTGGGCCATCTGCGGAGAGCTGTCGTTCCTAGTGCCTCACTCCGTGATTTAAAATGTCTCAGCAGTACACATCTCTCAGGGCAGATCAGTGCTTTCTAAGATGGATTTTGCCAGGTCCAACTGTGTGTTTTTATCCCTCACTGATGTGCCTGCCGCTCATATTGCCTCAGCCGTGACTTTGAAGCAGGCAGCAGCTCTCCTGCCCTCTGACTTTTGCATCTGGATAATTAAGGCCAGGTCCTCAGCGCCCCTTCCCACACCCTGACGGGCACCTCGGAGAGCCGTCGTCTCCTGGAGCCGAGACCTGCCCGGAGGTGGGGAGAATGAAAAAAGCAGAGAGCCCATCGGGTGCTGAAGTGTGGCCGTGAGCTGCCCGGACAGGACGCATGTCCCCATGGCTGCTGCAGGCGGGGGATGGCCCGGAGCCTGCCCCGTGTCCCCTCCCTCGCCACCCACCGCTGTGGCACATCGGGAGCATGGGCACAGACCTTGGTAGGATCCAGCCCTGGCATGAGGGGAGCGGGGGACTTCAGAGACCAGACCCGTACGGAGCAGACTGTAAAGGCTGCAGGAGAACAGCGGTGGTGGGGGAGCAGAAAAACCTTTCTTAAGGATTTCTCAATTTCTTCAGGAATCCCACATGGAGGAAAGGGCCAAATTTCTGCCCGGAATTTATGCTGACCTGTTTTGTGGTGAAGAAATAAAAAATGTTGCTGCAGAAAGAGGAAAGAAGCCTTGCAGCTGCTGAAGCTGGATTTTTGTATGTTAACCAGAAGGTTGGTGCCACTGCGCTGCCAGACGACCCTGACAAACGATCCTCAGAGAGCAGCCAACACTGCTGCTGTCCCACGGGCAGATTCACGGTGATACTGCTAATATAAAGTTGCTGCTTGACTTACTCCTTGACTGATGCAAGTGAAAATTTGGCCCAGAGACAACAGAAATGGACAACGACCATAAATACTTGGGATGCCACGAACTAGTTCCAGTTAGAGAACGCACTGGGATGGGCTGGTGTTGGAGCTTCCGTGGCACTGCACGAGCTGCTCGAGTCTTTTGCCTCTTAGAGAACAGTTTGTGTGCTGCAAACCAAGAAGCCAGTGCTATGGTTAAAGGGATTACTTCAAACTATGCTATGTTTTCTAGTGAGAGAATTTGTGGTATTACATTCTTGGCTAATTTTCAATTTTTCTCTTTTGTACAAACATAAAGGGATAAATGAGGTAGAAAGTATTGTTCTACAGCTGGTTTTGGTTAAGTTTTTGCCCCTCTTCCATGAACATAGTAGTAAAAATACAGATCTGGTTGAAATATTTTTGAAGAAATTTTCATTTCCTGGACGCTCAATCGGAACAAATTGATCAAAGGAGAAAGACAGAAAAATAACTGGAAGAGACTAATCAAGAAGGCAGACAAATGACAATTAAAGCCAGGCAGCTCTTTTTCTGTTGTTCCTGTATGTATTGATTTTACCCGTGGTTATTTGTAAAGAGATGCATGATTGCAGCAGAGAGCAAATAAAAACCCTTCATTTTCAGCTTGAAGAAATATTTTGTGGCAACATAGTATGTTTTTTTCACTGGTTGTGATCAAATGAGTCATCTAGTTTATAGTCAAAAATAGATCCAGTAATGCAGATTAAAAAATAAAATGGCAATGCATGTGGTTACGGACACAGCTGTTGTGATATGG